GACAATGTTTTTTCCCACTGCCTCAAAGACCTTTACAAGTAAGACGGGGAGATAATGTTGTGACCTGGCAGAAAATCTAAATGTTAATATTCTCCCTGAAGCAGTTCATCTATTACTGGATCATCCTCCGATGGCGAGGAGTCTCTTTTCTCATCGGTTTTGTCACACATTCTGGCTTTGTGAAGTTGAGGTTAGAGAACTTGTGCTGTTGATATCATGATAAGTTAGATGCGAATGCCCTCACTGGGTGTAATGCTGTCAAACCAATAAACTGAAGTGAATATTTATATTTGAAATCACTCACAGCAGAATTGCGAATGACTAGGAAGTTTAAAAAGGTCAATTTAATCAATATTTCATAGACTCTGCTGGCTGTGTAACCAATTTGGATCCTGAATACGACTCAGAAAAAGATTTACATACCTTTCTGTCACTGTTTATTTTCCTACTCACATATATACAACAGGCTTTTACGTGTAATCCTTTCAGTCTTTTCAATGATTGTGAGTGCTTGAGTTTTTTCCAGGAATGAAACATGTGATAATGTGGTGCTTTCTTGTGGAAACAACCAACCGATAGTTGCTCTGCTTCTGCCCAACGCGATAAAAACACTGGAGAAATATTCCATCCAAACTTTGCTTGTTCACATGCTTTGAACTATCAAAATGCCTGCGTGGGATTTTTAACATCTTACATTGCTGTCCAAGCAGCTGATAGAAATGACCTTCTGTCACAACAGACCTCAAAAAGGGCTTATAATTCCAAGCACTGAATGGATTAACCGGCCATTAGGAATTACGCAATTTGTTAAATACATCAAAAATGATGAATTCATTGATTTATTCCCAGTGCCTGGAGGCTTTCTTCCACAGCCTCCCCTCTGTGCAGCTGTGCACGACCTTCACCTATGCCCTCCTACTGCGGCACCCACAGCGCCTCTGCTTCAAAACCAGGAAGGAAGAGCCAGACAGAGGAAATGCATGTTTCCAGCAAACAGACGCACTGACTTCATTTTAATTAAAGCTGGCCGTCAGCGATGTCACTTCCCCTGAGCTCTCAGGAGAAAACGGCACCACATTTATATGTAAGAACTCTTTCCGGTGTGTGCGCCGAAGCTGTCAGGCAGCAGATACCTCTCATCGTTCTGTACAGAAGATAAAGATGCATCCAAAGAGTTCAACCATAACTCCAGCATCTCCTCGCGGCGCGAAGGGTTCGAGAGCAGAAGTGAATATGATCCTAAAAGATTTGCTTCCTTCTGTCCTGCCACATCTTCAGCTTCAGGCAAGTTTTTTTTTTATTTTGTTTTAGCAAGCAGGCAAACCCAAGAACATCAAAGTCATTGACATCAATTCGAGACCTTTCATCATCAGTTGCTGTGATTCTTCAGTCTTAAACTCATTTCAATTTTTCACAATGAGTTGACGAGTTAGCCGGTAAACCTCTAAAATTATGCGGTAACAAAAAACATAAAAAATTCCCTTTGAGATGAACATGTCAGGAAGGAAAGAACCAGTTAAAGCAGGTGACATGATTTGCATCTCTTGTTTTATTCTTTTCCCTGATCACTATAAACAAAGGCTTAGTTCTGACATGACCGGGGGAAGAGGAAAGGCGGCTACGAGGCTGCAGGTATGGATGGAAAGGCTGTCATTGATACGGACAACAGTCATTTACCTCATTCTCCTTATTGATGCGCTCACGACGGCGGTTGCCAACAACTCTACCACGACTTTAGTGCACTCGCTGGTTTCTTTAAGAGTCAGTTCACACAGTTTACAGAAATGAATTCAACACGGTCCCTCACATACCTCTTATGGTTTCTAGCCATGAGTATAGTTGTGTGTGTGTTCAGATCTTGGGGCATTTGATCCTGAGATTTGTGGCTTGACCCAAATTCAATAAAGGTGAAAAGAATTATATTTGCTGCTCTCAAATCAAAGCTCATACTTTCCATGATAAATGTAATACTTATTTTCCTGTTTTTCCATAATTTTTTGGCGTTGTTTCACCTCCAACCATAATTTATTTCATCTTTTTTAGCTGCTGGCTGCTTACTTCATTTCCGTTGAGAATTGCATGTTGGAAAAATAGTCCTTAGATTTAGGCAACAAACCGACTTCAGTTTAGGAACTGATGGCATGAAATACTAGCCAATCAACATAGAGCGGGGTAGAATTATTGGGTGGAATGAAATAACGTGCTTGCCTCTTTTTATTAATGGCACAACTGTTTACTCAAATAATGTATGTTGTTTAATCTGTGTGCTGTCTGATTCAACTATGTGCTACTAAGATAGCTACTAAAAAGCTGTTCAGAATCAGGGAGATCACAACAGTCTGCATGATAATGAGACAATCTGATTATTTTCTATTTTAATTTAAAGTGCATTTGGAGTTATGTGGGTTTCCATTACATACGAATGGAAATGTTGGATGATGGTTTCACATTTACACAAAAGTTATGATTCTCATCTGGTTAAAGAAAAGGTCTCCATCGGTTTCCCAATTGGACATAAGACAGCATTTGCATTCAAAAAAATAAAAAAAGCAAGTATTTTTTATAAAGATATGACCAACATGTCAAAGTCTTGGGGGGGGACACGCACAGGACTGCTCTGGATCCATCCCAGTCTGCAGAGGTGGAGCCCAACATGTGCTCAAGGGATCTTTGAGTTCTTTGGTGTAAAGGAATAAAATATGTATTAAGTTGTGTCTCTCACCATTCAGTTTACCACCGAGGCAGTAATCAAGGAAGACAAAGCCAGTCAGCGTCCTTGCACACTGTGAGTCTGTACAGTAGCTTAATGCTAACGTCAGCATGATAACACGTGGATGTTGAATTCTCCATCGTAGCGTTAGCGCGCTAACAGCTGCTTATTATTACCCGACACAAAGTGCCCCTCTCAACCGGGTTTTCCTCTTGCAAGTTCTTCTTGTTGCCCATGCAAGTGACACAAGGTCATCTAAACTTCATGTGCATTTGAGACTATTGCTCAAAGGAGACACAAGGACTTGATCACATTGACAAAAGCTTATTGGGTCCTAAAACACTCCAAAGCTGGTGTTGGGTATTACTGAAAAAGTCTGTCATACACTTAACCCCAGTAAAAGCTCCATGGGAGGCCTTGACCTTGATATGCTCCCCGGTGCGTTTGCGTGCCAACACGAGGAGATATTTTCGAGGGCGGCGGCAGATTAAGGTCGATCTGATCAACAGTCCTGGAGCGTTTGTGAAATTCAACCTTCAGGACTTAAAACAGCTCCGAGTGATGTTTTTTTCTGTTCCATTTCCAAGTTGTTAAATTATTTTCTCAAAGTGTAAAATGTCCCAAATAAACCCCGGCAAGCTCATTACCGAAAATGCAAATTACTTCATACCAAAGTGCTTCACCCAGATCTGCACAGCGACAGCGTTTTGTTCTTGTATTTTCAGTTTGGGGAAACCAAAGTGGGTGCAACTATTTTTTTGCCTCTAAAAAACAATTGAGATCTATACTTAACATTTTGTGTATCATATGTTTTTGAATAACTTAATCCCAGCTAAATATACAGGTATGTGTATATGTGTAACCAAATATCTCTGAAGAAATAGAAAAGCGGCAGAGCTAATTCCATCCATTTGCAGGGGAATTCATAGTGCGCTCTCCTCCCTGTTGTTGCAAACCTGATTTCTGTACAACTTGGATCATTTTAATCTTTTCAGAAGTAATCCTTGATTAAATTTCAGGGATTACAGAGGGCTTGGCAGATAAAGGAGAGAAACCTTGATTCGGCGTGTCTGTCTATCAGGGAACACATAATAAGAGAGAAAATGGAAAACAGGGACGGCGAGAATGACGTTCCACGAGCCATATATTCTCCCAGTTAGGAGTGGTTGGCCTTAGCTTTATCCTTTGCACAGTTATGTAAAGCCAGTCAGAGAGTGTCAACATTTCCAGAATAAAGTGTCAGAGTTCTGTCAGACTGGGCCATCAGGCTGCAGCCTCAAGCGCTCAGCGGCCGGCTGGCTCACTGTCATCAAATGTTTTTGGTGTTAACAGCCAAAATATCTGACAGGTTCTCACATTTCAAGCAAAGCGCTGGAGACTAATTATTTATTTCGTCTTGTCTCCTGGGGGGTGTTAAGAGTGGTTGTGTGTTATCACTGAGAATTTGCTTTGGGATAATTTTGATTGGATGTCCAGAGCAGAAATTGAGGCCAAGTTGTGCTTAAAGGAGAACTACATATGACTAAGTGTCCACAACTATAATTATTATTATTATTGTTTTGGGGATAAAAAAAGAGATTGCATGAATGGTTGAGTATTGCTTGTGTCTTTGCCTTAGTACATAATCTCTTATAATTCTCTTTGTGGTGGACGCTCTCAGTTGTCATCAATTGTTTGACGACTGCAGAATAACCCCGAGAGAAGATGAACACCGGCAGCAGAGACAAAAGAGCAGCAACCCTGTGAAAATAAATCAGTCTGACAGACGTTAATGTAAGATATACATTTGACAAATACGCTAAGAGAAACACAAATGCTTAGCTTTATCTATCCTAATCAATGCTGGCAGCGTACTGTAGGCTTTATTGTTTACATATCAATTGTATTCATATTATATGATATAAGCCTTTGTGTTTATGACCAGGGTGATTTGGGTTTATTTTTTTAAAGGGGTATAAAACCCTCAGCGCGCCGCTACATTTTTTTACAACTCTTCTGTCATAAATATATGAAAAAAACATGAGACAACATGTGTCACGCTAGGATAAAGCCATTATGGGCATAAATGCTTCCAGTTCTTGGTAAAATAAATTGTAACACGACACAGCATGACGGGAAAACTGGACGTGTAATCGGGAATACTTGTGATATTGTGATATTGGTTGACTCGATGTGACTTGTGGGACCACGTGCGTCTCGGGCTCTTCGTATCCGCCCGGCGGGCGGCGTGTGCTTGTGGGAGGAGCCAAAGTTCACCAGCACGAGAGCGCCCCGCCCCTTCAGGTCCGTAGTAACGGAGGCTCGCTCAGTAATGCTGCGATGATGGACCTCACCTCGCCGACGCAATAATGCCGGGCTCTCCGTGCTCTTTTCGAAACGCGCCTTGTGGATTTTAAATGGGCTTACGTCCCTTTTTTTTTGGTCGAAGGTTTTTCCAATGACTGTGAAGACTTGAGCGTTTTTTTGGTATTATTCGCGCTGCAGCTCGTGGACGGTAAGGTCCTTTTTTCTTCCTGCCCGGTGTTCTTCGGTTTTCAGCTTGAGACACCTTCGAACGGAGAGATTTGAAACAAGAGTGCATTCATCACATGTATATCAAGTTACGTTCGGGGGGTATTCAGTCCGGCTTGAATAATAATTGCGGTTGCAATGTTTTCTAATATCAGAGCGTTTATGCGTAAATGAAGGTTTTCTGAGATGTTTTGCCTCATGATAGTGGCTATTAACCGACCATGTCAATGTAGACCTGTAGACTGCAGTGTGCTTCTCCCTACAGCTGTTTTCATGTCATTTCAATCAGGGACGAGCTTGATCAGGGTCCAATGTGCAAATTGCCTGCTTTCATTCCGAAATCTTTGATACAACTAATTATATTGCAGGATTATCACTGATTTCGATCACGGTTGAGAAAGTCTGCATTAGTGTGGACACTCTGATCATCAGGATCAGGATCCAAACAGCCCCTTTTCAACCCAAAGACCCCCCCCCCCCCAAGAAGCCCTTCTTCTGAATTTACTCTGCTTTATTTTCACCCCCACTTAAAGTCACATTGGCATCATTGGTGCTGTTAAGGACTGTGAGCGCCATGTGGAGCCTTTTGGAACTGACTGTGCAGCGTTACACTTAATGACAGCACGCCTGTTTCCTGTAATCCTCCTCCAAATAGGCCGCCTACTCTTATCTATGCTGGCATGTGTTGCGCCTCCAATATCGCTCTGCATTGCAATGAAACAAACACAGATCCACCACTGGATGAAGCATCTGCTTGTGCTCAGCGTTCAGATGATGCTGATGTGCTTTTGTCGGAGTCAGCCTGTAAATGACCTGTGAAACAGTCTCTCCCCTTCGGGCCTCTGCTGCTCTGCTGCTCCCTGTTACCAGACTTTGACTAGATATCAGTAACACTAAGAACACCGATCGCTCCCGCAGTCACTCCCCCCCCCCCCCTTTTTTTTTTGTAAACAAGCACTTTTATCTGGAAGTATTCGAAAAAAAAGCATCTTGCCCGCTTCCGCCCCGTCCTCCCTCCGTTTCTCTGTAAAACGTTCTCATATGCAAACACAGGACCCCTTCCCACGCAATCACACACACACACATTCAAACACTCAACAAGCACACAGACTCCGCGCTCCACCCACTGTAGCAACTTCAGAGGAATGGTCAGCATGTGGCGAGGTTGTTGTGAAAGAGTTGGAAGGGGAGGGGAGTACACTCTGGTTGTATTTAACCCCCAGTATAGTGTCCACGGGGGCTGGATGTGCTCGCTCTGATCTGATGGGACCTTTTGATGCCTCCGTTTAGTGAAAATGTTCCTCTTTGAATGGCGGTGGAGCAGATCCAGCTGCCTCTACATCAGCTCGGATGAGTTTAAAAGGGTTTGCTGTCCATTTCCTGAAGCTAAAACATGCTGCAGGAAAGGCATTTCAGTTTGGGAGAGAGTTGTTGTTGAGTTGATGCAACTAAAACTGTGAAAAGTTGACGGGGCATCGATTCCCTAAAACCTGTCTGCAGAAGTGTCTCCGCTCTGTGCATGACATTTCGTCTCCTCTGCGGGGCCATTCGTATCCAGTGTGACCTGCAGGTAGAGCGCCCGCCCAAGCCTAGAGGGGTTTACTGTACATGTTGGGCACGAAGGAGGGCTCAGCGTGCAGTTGATGCCCCTCTGGGGGGGAAAAGGCGGATAAACCTGAAATGAATTCTGGCCTTACCTCACAAACAAATCTGCTTTCCATGGTTACGTGTGTTCCACCTGCACTTGACTCATCTGTTTGAGACTGCTGTCATGCCCGGTCATCACTGTTCACACAGGACAGCGGTCTTTAGCCGCAGGTCCACACACGCTCCACCGCAGGATTACTCAAGTCCTGACAGACGTCCCGTGTGTTTGTTTTAGGCTGTTTGAATGAATGCGTGTGAGTAGAAAGCACACTGTCGTCTCCGAAATGCGGTGTCTGTTCCGTTTACACTGGCGGCTTGGCATGGCACGTCGCTGGAGATATTTTGTATTTTTTATTTAGGCACCTTTTTGTTTTTTGTTTTTTAAGGTTGTAATGATATACTTCCTCATAACGTTCAAGCACGTCTGAGATTGAGCAGAGAAGAAAAGTCTGCGAGGACCAGAATGGGAACTGAAATTAGTGCTGGAATATTTGTTTCAGAGAAGCGTGTTCACACACGCATGATGAAGTTAAATGTGACAAACCCGTGTTTAACCGTTGCCGGGCGCGGCCTGCGAGGCAGGTTTTTATTTTCCCTTAACCTTGTCTGTGTGACAAGTGTTGGAGTTTGTCAGGAGTGTCCTCTGCATCAGCCTGAATGGGGCCGTAACAAAGGTGGCGGTTTTAGGGTGGAAATATATTATGTAACCTGTTCTTCTTCAGAGAGAAATGAACGTCTTGCCTGTTTTCCTTCCTCTTGTTTTGACAGAAATGAAGAGGAAGAGAAACTGTGACTTTTGTAATGGAAACCAGACTTTATGTTCCTGGAATGTTTTTCCTCGAGACTTTGACTTTACAGTTATTGTGTTTAAATGTTGCCCCGAAAATAAAGTGAAATCATATTATCACACAGCTGTTTTAATTTATTTTTAAACGTTCCTTCTCATAGGGACAGTTCATTCTAAACCACATCTTTCCTTTAACCTGTAGGGCTATTTCTCAATCCCGATAGTGTTTAGTGTGAGTTGTTTTGGCGAGTTATCTGCTAGAAGTAACAACAAGGTCTGTGGATTGTCTTTCATAACGAGGTCATGATTTCCGATGAGGCTGTTTAGTTTTTAGTTGTTGCTTTGAGCACCAATGTCCCATATATTCAAAAGGAGGCAGACATGTTGATGGCCGATATTTACTAAAATATGCAACTCATATCCAAACAATCTAAACATAACAGGTGAGAGCAAAAATATGCACATTACCAAACTATGTGCTTCCATCCATCCGTCCACTTGTTGGCATCAGATATGTAGTCATTTCATGTAATGTAATATAAAACTACCAACATGTATGTATTCAAGCAGTCTATTTTCAAGAAGGGACTTTATTCCCTTTCTTCAGCGTGTTTGATTTGATGATCGTCATGGCGCAGGGAACCGCAAGGTTGGTGGTTCGAGTCCCGGATGTCTCAAGTCGAAGTGTCCCTGAGCAAGACACCTAACCCATAATTGCTCCCTGGGCAAAATGTAAAAGCCAGGGGTTAAAAATGTTATGTGAGTCGCTTCAGATAAAAGCGTCAGCTAAATGACCTGTAATGTAATGATGTAATCTGAATTTTAATAGGAAAATCAAAAATGTTTTTGAAGAAGATTTCCAAAATTAGGGTGCAGAATTAAATGAGTTGAAATGGTTTTATGGTTCACAGTTTATGTACAAGGATTTATTTGGCTATGGTAAGTGGTAGGTATTGCAGTTTTTTTCTGATCCATCAATAGGGGGACTTAAGAGCCCCTCTTCTATTATTTCTCTCTCTCTCTCTCTCTCTCTCTCTCTCTCTCTCTCTCTCTCTCAATATATATGATTAATTTTTATATATATATATATATATATATATATATATAAATTAATCATTCCATTCTAATGTAATCCATCTTTCTAATCATCTCCAAATATTTTTTTATACTGATTAAGGTTAATAAATTCTCCATGATACGTCCCTTATCGGTGTATCAGCCATTATCAGCGGGATTGTCGCCAGGAGGGACCACACTGTTGACTTAATACTTCCTTTATTGGTGAGCACTGCTCACCAAGGCCAAGACGAGAGTCCCTAGCGGTAAACAAACCAGAAGTGCTCCAGCTGTTTCTTTTGATGTCGACATATTTGCAGGGAGTAAACCGACCCAACGGCCGAGGCCGAGGTGGCAAACCAGAAAAACGGCACCGACAAACTGTCGTGTTTCCACTCGATGAGAACGAGAACCGCCGCCTGGTCAAAAATCCCGGCGTTAACATCCGTACCAGAGCGCGCCGCCTCAGAACCGCACTGTGCGGGTCTGACCGGCTGAACCGAGGGCCAGCGAGAAAATATTGTCATCTGTTACACTTTTTAAATCCCATAACCTTTGCCTGTCGGCTCGAGTGGAGAATCGAGTCCTCACGTCGGTTTAGCTGCAGGGATTAAACTTTCCCTCCACCACTCGATGCTCAAGCCATGAGATGAATAGCCCGCCATGGATCGCCAATTCCTCGCGTTTGATGGCGTAATTAGCAAATGAACAGTGATGCTAAAACAGCGTGGTCTGGACCTCACAAAGGCCGGTTGTCTGTGAACTGTAAATCTTCCACTCTCCTTTTGTCACGCCATTGAGCTTGTTCACAGACGTGTGCCCGACCTCATCAACTCGGCAGAGGAATGAGATGCTGTTCTCGGGTTGCTGCCGTTTTCCCCGCTTTTCTACACCACAACGAGACCAGTGCCTCTTCTCACTGCTGACGCCTTTAGACCGCCATTAAGTGGCGGTCTGTCGCAAGCCGTGGGGGGGGAATCGGAATTCTTCTGTCCGTCGTTTTGTCTTGATTGGTCAGCGCACTTTATTAGTCTAGAGGTGGATCATCAGGTTAAAAGTGTGGGGAGCTTTTCGGCCCAGATGCACACAATAACCAAAAAGAAAGGGGAAATCTGTTTTCTATTGAGTTTGTCGTCCAATAGCGATCCTGTTAGAGGGAAATCCCTATAATTGGCATGAACATCTCCAGATTGCCATAGTTTCCGCAAGCCGGGTTACGATTGAGTGCGACGCTGGGAAATGATGTCGCTCGGCGCGCGGTATCCTGACTGACGTGCAAAGCTCATTATTGACGCTTTGCGAGTTCTTCAAGAACCAACCTCCCACTGTTTCCCCCGTCAGGCTTGAATAATTTGAAGCGAGGGCAACTCTGTATCATAGGGGCTAAGGTGACCCCAACTCTCCGTTAAGCACTTATCTCCTCTGCCGCTTCTGCTTCACTCGCTCTTTTGAAATGATAATTGCTTCTACCCGCGTGGCGACTCTGAGCAGCA